GGTTGTGGAACCCTTTCCCAGTTCTTCCTCCCCTTGACCCACCAACTTCCAGCTCCAGCATGGAGCACCCCCTGTGCTGTGCTGCACCCAGGAACCTCCCAGCTTGCACCTCTTCCCCTAATTCCTCAGAAATCCGATCGTTAGGGGTTGATTTTCCTGCCTCTGTAATTACCACCTATTCATTTATTTGTCAGTTTTGTGTTTGAGTGCCCCGGCCTGGCAGCAGCCAGGGCTCTGAGCACTCATTCCATGTGCACCCTGGGAGCTGGGACCTGGAGCAGGCAGGTGGTGGATGCAGTGGCAGCCTGGGATGACCAAAATCAGCCTCCTGGGATGGCCAAAATCAGCCTCCTGGGATGGCCCAAAATCAGCCTCCTGGGCTGAGCTGCCAAACAGTGACTCCCACATCTTGGCATCACCATCGGCAGCGTGCCCTGGCATGGCCAGGGTGCCACTGTGGCACCCCAAAAAGCAAAGGGATGGTTGCTTTTTCCCTGCCTGCTGTTCCACCTTTCCCATTGGAGTATTGCTGGTGCCTCCAAAGTGCAGGAGAGCTGGCTGTCACCATGGTGACTGCACCCAGGGCCGTTCCCTCCCTTTAGCACAGCTCTGGTGGAGCTGCATGACAGATGTTGTGGAGTTCCAGGCAAAGGTTTCCAAAGCGGATCTTTGTCCAGAAATGATAAACTCAGCAGATTTTCCCTTGTTCAGGGTGAGGGGAGGCTGCAGTTTGGTCTGAATTTGCCCCAGGCCACAAGTGGGTGATGGGGCTGGTGGATTCTCTGCCACATCCCCATGTTTATCTGAGCTTTGTGCCTTGCTGGGGATTGGCTGGATTGCTGCCAAATCCAACGGGCACAGAGGGCTGGCCTTTGGGAATCACGTGCAGCAGAGCCAGGCGGCCCCAAAAGGGCCAGGGCAGAGCCAGGGCAGCGGGGGGGATGTTGGAGAATATGAATATTTAATCACCAGCCCCGTCCTAAGTTACCTCCCAGCCTGCCATTCCCTGGCCAGAGCCCAGGAGTGATGCCAGGGGGCGGGAGATGGTGAATGCTGCTCCTGGGGAAGCGTGGGAAAGGACTGGCACATCCACTCATGTGTGTCTCCTTTTGTCTTCCAGCAGAGCTGAGTCCCTCTCTTCCGATGAAAAAGGTACAGGGATTTTGTGAAATTCCTTTGGAATGGAAAGGGGCAATTTTGTAACCACAGGCTTTGAAAACCCTGCTGTAAAACCGGCGTTTGTGGATGGGGTTTGATTGTTTATCCCGATTTTTAAAATCCTTTGCTGTTTATTTGCTATTTATTCCCTTTCCCTGAGCTGCTGAGCACAAAATTTGCCAAGAGAAGGGTTAAACCTTTTTCCAACCTGTATTCCCTGCCTGCTTTTCCCTTGCAGAGGTGACGTCCAACGGCACGGAGGGAGAGGGCTCCGCCGAGGAGCGCCCGGAGGGTGAGCACGCGTGGGGCTCTCCTCCCACTCAGGGTGGTGTGGCCAGCCCTGCATCCCAAATTTCCCCACAGAGCACGTCCCAAAGCACGTCCCTTATTTTGCAATGCTGGTTTCTCTTCAACTTGGGTTCGTAGGGATTATTTATTGCAGCCGCCTTTGGTGCATCCACGCGGGTCACGGCCCTGGTGGGACACGCGGCTCCCACCGAGGCTTCTCCCACCTGGGTGCACGCCATGGAAACCCAGAATTTAACTGGGTGAATTATCTGGGTGAAGCTCCCAGATAATCCCAGGTTGGATAAAGCATTAGCACTGAATATGCTGGACACCACAGGTACCCTCTGGAAGGGCCTGGGTGACCCCAAAGTTTTCCAGGGTGTTGGGATTTGATGCCCTGGTGATCTTCCCTGCCTCAGTGTTTTTTTCTGCTCTGTTATATTATGTAACCTGCTGACTCACCTGATGTATCCAAACCCTCTGGATGTATCCTTGGATTCATTCCACCTGTGCCCAATGGGGTGTTAATCTGTTAAGGAGAGGCCAGTTCCGAAAGCAGCTCCAGCAGCAGCTCCGAGGAGGAGTCAGGTGAGCATAACGTTGTGATTTACCTGTATGCAAACTGATGTTCAGTTCAAACCAGCTGCTTCTCCTGGGAATTGTCTCCCACTTATTGCAGAATGTTAACCCAGAGATTGCTTTTCCAGTGGTATTTTTGGGAGCCAGTGATTTCCCATCAATGATCAAAGGGCAGCAGCTCGTGATTCTCTCACCTGGCAGACACAATACCCACGGTTGTTTTTACTGCACAGTAGTTGTCCAAACACCACGGGGCCATAAATTTCCTCTGAACTTGGCAGCAAAGCTGGCAAAACAGGATGGACAGGAAAAGAATTAAAGGAAGCTGCTGATGAAAAGCTGGGGGGTTTGCACTTCCACAGGTTGTGCCTCCAGCGGTTTATTCTGGTTTTGTGCAAGACTATCAGTCTTCAGTTAAAGAATTACAATGTTTTCCCTGGTCAGATGTGGGGGAGTGGGGTAGAGGAAGCTCGGGGAGTGTGGTTTTATTGTGTCCTTTGTCTTTGTCCTGCACAACCAGGCTTTGAGGAATCCAGCCGGGATAAATGATGCAGGAGGGGTGATGTGGGATGGCAGGAGGGATTTAGAGCTGGCCCTTCCATCACCCCCAGCGTCTTGGGATTGCTGGAGAGCTTCCCCAGGATGGGGGGGGCACAGGGGGCACGAGCTTCCACGTGCAGTGGGTGTTCCTGATGTGATTGCAATCCCTGCTGCAGCTCCAGGGGCTGGAATAACAGTGGCTTGGGAAGCAGCCAGTGCCCGGTGGGCATTGGTTGATGTTTGCCAGGCTGTTGCTGCAGCAGGACCTTCTCTGCCTCTCCCAGCCCTGCCTGTCCAGGGGGTGCTGGTCCTGGGGTGGCTTTGGGACAACCTCCCTCTGGGATCCCTCTCCCTGGAATTCTGGGATGGGATCCCATCCCATCCTCACGCTCGGCTCGGCAGCTCCACCGCCCACCTCTTCCCGAATCCCCCCTCCAGGCTACGAGCCTGAGGGGTCACCTCCTCTTCCATTTGGGAATCCCCAAGGAGCATCCAGGCACTTCCAGGTCATTTTAGGGACAAATCCCCTGCAAACAGCACATTTGCATGGGTGTTTTCCCTGCTCCCTGGCGAGGCTGTTGTTGTTTCCGTGCCAGTTGAACTTTGACTTTGGCACAACGAGGCTCGTCCTGGGGATGAATCTTCTTTTTAACCCCTGGGAAAATGCCCAGTGGTTTGGGCAACTCGTGAGCTTTTGGCCAAAGCTGGATCCTGATGGTCAGCTTCATCCCCACGCTGTGCAAGGGCTTGACCTTGGGAATGTTTTCCTTAAGGTTTTATGAATTTAAGCAAATTAAACTGGGGGTGGGGGGAGGGTTGTCCTGTGGGATCAAGGAATGTTCTCCTTAAAATGTTATGAATTTAAGCAAAATGAATTGGGAAAATAAAAACAAAACCTGCTGGAGACTGAGGTATTTGCTGCAAACTTCTTTTTTTCTAGATGAAGAACAGGAGGAGAAGGAATCTCCACCGAGCTGCAATGAATCAGGAAGGAACGGATCTCCTGAGGGTTTGTTGTTTTTTTTTGGGGTTTTTTTTTGCCTGACTGTTTAATTACTTTGCTTCTAATGAGCTCATCTTCCTTTTTTTCCCCACTAGGAAAGAAGTGCCTGCCACCCTGCGAGCACTGCAGGAATGAAAACGTAGGTTTTAGGAGACAAAAAAACCAACTCATGTATTTTGCAGGAGATCATTTGCAAATTGTAATTCCTCTCTCTCACCACCTTTTTAAAGTTTTTTTTTTCTTTTTTTTTTTTTTTTTTTTACATCTATTTATAGGACCAGAAGGAGGAAGTGACCCCAAGGAGACTTGCTGGAGGACAATTTATGTATGGATTTTTTTTAATATATTGGGTGTAAATTTACATTGTTCTGATGAAGATGCTTCAGTCTTTGGTTTAAGTGGGAAAATGGTAATTTGCTTCACAAATGCATTTGAAGATACAGTGGAAGATGCCCCCAAATCCTTAAAAACAAGCAGTTTAGAGCAGCTGCCTGTGTTGTCTCCAGATCCCGGTCCAAGCAAAGTCTTTGGAGGGTTTCCTGCCTCATCCTGCTGCAGTAATTAACATTTTTATGTGCTAATTTTAGTCTGGACACACGTGAGGCAATCTTGTCCTGCTTCATCCTCCCCATTAGCACTGACCTTGCATTTTTCCATGGATCGCAGCCTTGTTCTCGCTCTCTCTGCCCTGGAATTGTCACCAGTGTGGGATGTTGGTGTCTGGGTATCCTTTGGTGTTCTCCCTGCTGGATGTTGGGGTTGTCCATGTGCAGTGTTGGCTCTGACCTCGAGTCTGAGCCTTCTGTGTGGCAGCAGCTGCCTCGTGCAGCAAATATACAAAATATTATACAAAATGCCCATTCCAGCTTTGCCTGCACTGGCTGGGCCCTGCCAGTGGCTAACTGGCAGCTAAAACACAGAGACAGGAGCCAGAAACATCGTTGTGGCTCCTGTGCTGCTCAGATAAAGTGGCTGGGAAGGGAGTTGCTCCGTTATCCCCCCCCAGGCCACGTTCCCATGGGGGTTTTTTTTTTGGCGGTGGAAACCGAGCCAACACGTGTCTCTGCCCACCCCAGGCTGCAGCTGGACGGAGAAGGGACCTACCAGTGCAGCCTCACAGGCTTGATCTTCGAGGTGACGGGCCGCGTGAGGATCACCTACTCCCTGCTGTCCTGGAGCAAGTTCTCCAGCCTGGTGGAGAAGCCGTGGATCGTGGGCGGGCCCCTCTTCGACGTGCGCTGCGACTCCGCGCCCGCCCTCACCTCCATCCAGTTCCCGCACTCGCTGTGCCTGGGGGGTGAGTGCCAGGGGGGGCTGGGAGGGCTCTGCTCCCTCGGCAGAGGGTGCTGCTCCTGCAGCAGAGGGTGCTGAGCAGCCCCGCTGTCCCCAGGTGATGGTGCCGGCATGGCCTTCAAGGTGCTGCACGTCAAGGGCGACGGCGCGGCCATTGAGCCCTCGGCCGCCTACTCGGCCTCGCACGTGAGGTGGGTGGTGAGCTCCCTGTCGCCCGTGGGGCCCCTGATCCAGAGCCAGGAGCCCGTGCAGTACCACGGGGCCGTCATCCTCTACAAAGCCGTGGATGAGCATCCCTCCCTGTCCTTCCGGGTCTACGTGGCGACCAACAACGACTCCTTCATAAAGGTGAGGCCCGGGCCGGGTGGGACAATCCACGCACACCCCATCAGGGTTGGGGGGTGGAATCCTGGGAATGCTTTGGTTTTGACCCCTCCGTGGGCAGGGACACGTCCCACTGGAGCAGCCTGCCCTGTCCAACCTGGCCCCGGACACTTCCAGGGATGGGGATTCCAAGGGATGCTTTTCTCTCACCTCGGTGTTCGCGTGCAAGGATATCCATCTCTCCATAACTTCCATGCTGAGATGTGCCAAGTTAGGGCCTGGTATTTAATAATTGTGCTGGCCAAGGTGCGTGATATTTAAGTGTTTACGCTGGCCAACTTTCCTGCTTCAGCTCTTCTCACAAATTCCACCAGTTAACCTCTGCAGCAACTGGTGTTGACAGAAATGTTTGTCAGCCCAGAGGATTTTCGGGAAGCTCCTCCTGACCTTCCCCACTGCTGTGTTTTTCACATCTGTTTTATATATAAATCACCCAAAGATACCTACAGATGATAGGGCAGGTCAGCAACAGAAGTGTGATCTGCCAGGGAGACAATTCAGCCTTTGAGATGAATTTTTATTTGCTTTGCTAGAGGCCATCCAAGACCTGTGCAAGTTCATACATTCCCACTGGAAATTACCTGGGAATGTGCGAAGGCAGCTGGCAATGAGTTCATCTACATGCCACCAGTTTTCCTGCTGCCAAAGATCACGTCAGAAATAACCTCAGAGGAGAACAGAGCAGAGAGAAAAGAGAGGACGTGGAACTAAACCAGGATAAAGTTACAGCTTTGCAGAATTCCTTGCAATGGAAAGATAATTAGGACATTGGTGTTGTGCTGATGATTCAGATCTAGCTGGGCAGGAGCTGTGTCAGGGACATGACTTTAATTTACCCTGATACAGTGAGGACAGGGAGAAATAACCTTCCTTTGATTTGGGGTTGTAAACTCCTTTTATCTCTTTTCACCCCCCCTGAACACGGGTTTGAAATGTTGATTTCTTTGCTGGAATGAGTAACCTCGAAACCGTATTTTTAAATTTCAGGACATCTCCAAAGCTGTCAAACATTCAAAAAGGAAATTTGTTAAGATTGACAAGCCCCCTGTGTGCCAGAAATTACTCCAGAATGGAAAGAGGTACAGATTGGTTTGTGAGCCAGAAGCTGAAATAACTCCTGAGGTAAGTCCCTTAAACGACCCTCCCTTCCTGCATTGCAGCTTCATAGAAATACAGCCCCAAAAGGCTTTTCCTGTACATTCCTGCACTGGCATTAAGACCGTTTTTCAAATTCTATTTGCCTCTTAGAGCCCTAAAATTTTGGGATCAATTCCTGATGCCACAAGAGCAGAACTCCGGGGGGACTGGAGTCGGGCTCTGCCCCAGTTGCCTCCTCTTTTGTTTATGTTTGGGGTAGACGTTGATTTTTAAAATATTTATGTTGTGTAGGAAATTGAATTTGTTGATGGATCACTCCTGAAACTGAAGAGTTACATTGAAGTGTATGTGGAGAAACCTGATGAGTTCACCCTGTCTCTGGTTGAGCTGGACTCTGATGCGACTGTCTGGAAAGCAAAACTCCGAGAACGTGAGTCTTTGGGCTTCAGGGAATCGTGGAGTGATTTGGAAGGGGCCTTAAAGGCCATCTAGTTCCAACCCCCCTGCATATTGCTGCATGTTATAATATATCATTCCGTGTATATGTAATATAACTTTGTAAATTATTGAGAACATGCAGTTCTGTTGCATATCCTGACGTGCTGCAGCACGCTGAATAAAAGGGAGGGGAAAAAAAAAATCATCTCATTATATAAAACCTTCTCTTTGGGCCTGAGAATCACTGAAGGTTGGCCATAAGAACTGGGAATTCCTCCCTCACCTTTTGTCTCCTCTGCCCACTCTTCCCAGGGGACTGGCTGCACTATGACCAGAACAAGAACGAGCAGAAGAGAAGCACAGGCAGTGAGTCAGCTTGGAGATGTTGGGCTTGGGGTGGCTTGTCTGGGTGCCCCTTCCTTGCTCCTGTAGCTCAGGAGATGTGACGCCGGTGACGTCACCTCTTGCTTCCTTCCCAGGTGTCAAAAAAAGGAAACCAGCCTCGCCAGAAGGGGGACTTTGCAGCAAGAAGCAGAAGACTGGTGGCACTGCAGGTGCAGCCTCTGTGTGGCCTTGAAAATAACGTGTTTGGGGGGGGGTTGTGTCCTGGGAGACTGAGGGGAGACCTCACTGCAGTTCCATCTCCCTGGGCAGGGACTGAGCTCTGCTCTGGGGGGAGCAGGGACAGCCCCCAGGGAATGGCTGGAGCTGTGTCAGGGCAGGCTCAGGGTGGATCTCAGGGAAAGGTTCTTCCCCCAGAGGGTGGTTGGCACTGAACAGGCTCCCCAGGGCAGTGGGCACAGCCCCAAGGCTACCAGAGCTGCAGGAGGGTTGAGATGATCCTCTGGGGCACAGGGGGTGACTTTGGGGCTGGGTCTGTGCAGGGCTGAGGGTTGGACTGGATGATCCTGGTGGGTCCCTCCCAGCTCAGCCCATCCTGGTGTCCTGGGAAACTGAGCTCACTTATTTAAAGACTTCCCCAAATCACCCCCTGGAACGCTCCAGGCTTGGGGAAGAGCAGTGGGAAAGCTGCCCACGGGAAGAGGACCTTGGTGTGGGGGTTGACAGTGGCTGAACATGAACATGCCCAGCTCCATGCCAGGTGGGCAGGTGGTACTGGTGGCACCTGCCTTGGATCAGGAATGCTGAGGCAGCAGGGCCAGAGAAGTGACTTTTTTTTTTTTTCCCTGTGTTGGGCACTGGGGAGGCTCCATCTCGAGTCCTGGGGGCAGTTCTGGGCCGTGTCCAGGGAAGGGGCTGGAGCAGCAGGAGGGGCTGAGGGAGCTGGGGGGGCTCAGCCTGGAAAAAAGGAGGCTCAGGGGGGACCTTCTGGCTCTGCAACTCCCTGACAGGAGGGGGTGGTCAGGATCTGCTCCCAGGGGACAGGAGGAGAGGAGAGTTTGCCAGGGAAGGTTTAGGTTGGGTTTTAGGAAGAATGCCCCTGCCTTTCCAGATGGCATTGGAACAAAAATCCTGACGGACCAGCAGCTGATGGCGGTTGCGAAGCAGTTCGGGCGGCAGTGGAGGGAAATTGCCATCGAGTACCTCGAGGTGGAGATGAAGGACATCGAGGAGATTCAGGCCATGGAGGGAGATGTCAATATGCAGAAGTTCCTGGTGCTGAGGAAGTGGAGAGACAGGCAGCAAAGCAGCGGCACTGCAGAAGCTCTGCTGAGGAGTCTGGGTGATAAAGGATCCTGTGATCAGGAGCTACTGCAAAGGCTGCAAGGTATCCCCCTCTGGGTTTGTTGAATCCCATCCCTGTGTCTCAGCTGTGTTTTTAGAATTCCCATCAGAGAATTCACCAAATCCCCAGGGCATGGTTGACTATGTAGGGCAAAACTGTCTCCCTTCCCTTACCAGAGAGATTTTCTTTTTCGTGGCGTTTTCATCATTCCCTTCAAAAATCCAAATAAATAAATAAATAAATAAATAAATAACGGAAAAGAAATGACAAACTGATGTGAAATGAAGAATATTTCTGCACTGACTGTGTTGAGAGCACTCTCAGCATGACCTGGCTGTGCTGACCGAGCAGGTCAGTGTTTTACACCCAAACCAGTTCTTGGTCTTCTCTGCAAGTCCCAAGGCGAGAAGTTTGAGTCTTTATTCTTCTGTATTTTTATTTGTTCTTATGTATTCTTATGTATTTATAGATTTTAATTAACACTTTTTCCTGACTGATGACTTAGTAGTTCTGAGAACTGCTGGAATTTGCTGAAGGGACCTTTAAGGTCCCTTCCAACCCAGGCCATTCCATGATTCTGTGACCCAGCCGAGGGGAATCATCCTCAAAAACTAAATGTGGGGTTTTTTTTCTGCAACAGCAAAACCTTGTTCCTTTTGAATTCCTTAACTAGGACAAGAGAAAATGGCCTCAGGTTGTGCCAGGGAAGGCTTAGGCTGGATATTAGGAAAGATTTCTTCGTGGAAAGGGGTCGTGAAATCCTGGCCCAGGGTCCAGTCCCCATCCCTGGAGGGGTTTAAAAGCTGTGTGGATGTGGCACTTGGGGACAGGGGGCAGTGATGGCCTTGGCAGTGCTGGTTGGTCTGGATGATCTTGGAGGTCTTTCCCAAGCAGATTCCATGACTAATTCTCCCTAAAAAACACCCTGGCTGTAAAGGCTGGAGAGCTGCTCATGCTCCCAAACCTGTCTGTGCCCCAGCCTTGTGCTGCCCTGGGGGGGGGGAGGGTTAATACATTTATTATTCATCTGGGATATTTTTTAATGCAGTTTTAATTCTCCTCGAACGTTGCAGTGACTTCCAGAGCTCAGTGTGTTTGTGTGTTTTTCCTCCCCTCAGATTTCTCGGCTCAGTGCTGAGCTGGAAGGACCTGCAGGCAGTGGGAGCTTCCCCATCCAACCCTTCTGCCCCTCTGGGATCCTGCTGGGATTCAGGAAGGAGGATGCAAAAACATCATCACTCAAACTTTAGGCTGGATCTTCTCAAGGAATGTGGATGAAATTTTGGATACAAACCACTTCCAGGACTTCCAGGAGCTGTGGATCCTGACGTCTCCGGGCTTCACCCGCAGAGAATCTCACCACTGTCACCTCATCTGAGCCACTCCTCGAAGATGGGACCACTGGAACAAACCAGGTGGAATTGTTCTCTCCAGGATCCCTCCCTGGGAGATATTTTCATTTACAGCAGGGAAAAACAGGGAGAAAAGTTAACGCAGGAACTTCCATCCCCTCACAAACCCACACTGAACCGCCCGAGTCGGGGGATGCATTGGATTTCTCCTGGATGTCCAAGATCAGGGAAGGATAATCCTGAACTTGCAGGCAAATTCCTTTGCAGAATCACTGTGTGTATATAATTCCTGTATATACTCCTGTACATTCAGTCCTTGTTAAGCTGTGGATCTCTTCTCTAAAATCCCAAAGACTGATTTTGCAGAAGCACCACTATGTACTCCAGGCAGCTTGGAATTTGCCCTGGGAATTTCTTTTCCACTCTTCTCTGTACGGTCTGTATTTTTACCAGACAGTTGTTTTTTGTTTTTTTGGTTTTTTTTACGTTGTATAATTTGGGGTTTTTTTATATGAGAAACTTTTTCTACTTTGTACTTGGTTCATTTTAACTCGAATTAGGTGCTTGAACTACCATGGGAGGAGCCAGAATTCCCAGGAAGGGCCCCCCACGTGCTACAGAACTGGAAAAGATTTGGGAATAACATGATTTGCAGAAGAGAGGGGTGACCTGATCTGTGGTTATCTGATTTTTAAGGACATGGGATGCTTGGACATGGGATCCTCTGAGTGTGTTCATGAAAGAAAAAACATACTTAAAAAAAAAATGAGGATTAAAGAGGAACCATTTACACGATTTACACATGATTTTGGATTTATTTTTTCTAATTTTAGCTGCTGGATGAAGTGTTGGGAGGTCATTGCCATCTCTCCAAGCTTTGATGCTTCTGCTGCTGCGACATCCAGGGGGGTGGATGAGGGAAATGGTGCTCAGGACCTCATGGAATCTTCTGCCAGGGGGCATTTTGGGGAAGGGGGAGAGGAAAAAGCAATGGGAGGTTTCCCAACCCCAGTGGAACTGCCCTTGGCTCCTCCAGCTGGGATGAGAAAGGGGGAAGGAATGACCATCAGGGCAACCAAGACACCAAATCAAACCCAAATCTTTTATAGGACTCCCTGATCCAGAGCAGAAATGAGTAAATCCATGGAAATAAGGTGGGTGGTTGGAATGCTGAGGGTCAGAAGGGACAATCAGGTCTTCAGCCTTCGGGTTCTGTAAATCAAAATGCCTTTTTTTAAAATGAAGAGTGTGTTTCTGGGGGGTTCAGGTTGGCTTTGCCCAGCTCTGGGATGCAAGAGGAATTCCAGCATTCCAGCTGCACCCAGGTGTGAGTTCCTCCTGATTTACAGCTTGGGGTGCGTTGTGGGTGCTCTGAGAGACCACAGCTTCAGTTCTGCATTGGAATCCTGAAATCATGGAATGGTTTGGCTTGGAAGGGACCTCAAAGCCCATCTCATTCCAACCCAATCCAAGAGGGAAACAGGATTTTAAAATATCCCATTCACCTTCACGTGCCAGCAATATTCCAAGTGCTTTATTTATATTTACATTCCTGTTATATCTCCAGGAAGAGCAAAGAAACCACTACAGTTTTTAAGGCAACTTGAATTTTATTGGGCAATAAATAGAATAAATAAGGAATATAACATAATATAACATAAATAAATCACAGGATGGGATACCCTGAGTTGGAAAGGGGAAATTATAAATAGACCTCAATTTGGGGGGGGGGGAAAAATAAGCTGAATAAATAAAAGCTGATAAATCACAGTTGGTGCTAAGATGTAGCTTATTTCCTAGGAATGTCCAAGCTCAACACGCAAAAATTCCTTTATCCCGAGCCCGTGGATTGATCCTGCTGGTTGGTTGGGTTGTTTTTCTTCTCTCCAAGGAATCCTTGAATGTGCTGAGGGTGCTCAGAGGGAGCTGAGGAAGCTGATCATCCTGGAGATGGTGACGGAGCGGACGTGGAGGGCCTGGAGGATCCGGCACAGCCGCAGAGCCTCCCGGAACGACTCCGGAGCTGCTCCCACCCGGCGTTCCGGGATGTCCCACCCGCCGTTCAGCGCCTGCCACGGGGAAAATTTGGGAATGTGGGGGGGGGGCACTGAAACCTGGGAAATGTTTGATTCGGTGGCTGAAATCGGAGTGGTTTAATTGGGATTGAATAGCGAAGGAATTGTGGTGTTACTGAGGGGATAAAATAAAATGGAAGAAAAGAAGTAACAGCCGAGGGTGAAAGTTGGGATGTTTAGTGGTGTAATTAAGGGGGTAATTTTTGAAATGGTCAGTGGTATTAATGGCATAACGTTTGAAATATCAAATGTGATTAATAGGGAAATTTTGAAGTGTTTAGCGTCAGAACAGGACAAATTTTGCAGTATTTGCTAGACACAGGATAGAAGTTGAGATGTTTAATGGTAGAATTAATGGGGTAATTTTTTGAATTATTCAATAATATTAATAGGATCAAATTTGAAATATTGAATGTAATTATTTAGAAAAAATTGGAATATTTATTTTTATAATAGGGTAAATTTTGAAATATCTAATGATACCATTATTAGAAAGGATAAAAGTTGAGATACTCAATGGTATAATTAACAGAGTAATTTTTGAATTATTCCATTATATTAATGGCATAAAATTTGAAATATTGAATGTAACTAGTAGGAAAAATTTGAACTATTTAATGTTAGAATAGGATTAATTTTGGATTATTTAATGATACAATTCCTAGACAGGATAAAAGTTAAAATATTTAATGTTATAATTACTAGGCTAAGTTGTGAAATATTTTGTGATATTAATAGCGTAAAATTTGAAATATTGAATGCAATTAATAGGAAAAATTTGAAATATTTAATTTTGTAATAGGATAACTTTTGAAATATTTAATTATATGATTCCTAGACAGGGTAAAAGTTGAAATAGTTAATGTTATAATTAAGAGGGTAATTTTTGAAATATTCAATGATATTAATAGGGTTAAATCTGAAATATTGAATGTAATTATTGGGAAAAATTTGAAATATTTATTTTTATAATAGGATAAATTTTGAAATATTTAATGATATTCCTAGACATAGGATAAAAGTTGAAATATTTAAAGTTATAATTAAGAGGGTGACTGTTGAGAAATTTAATGACATAATAACTAGACATAGGCTAACATTTGAAATAATGTAACTAATAGCATAACTTTTGAGATATTTCATGATATTATTAACAGACTTAGGATAAAACTGGAAATAATGATATAATTAATAGGATGGACAGCTGTCGTTGCCTTGAGACAAAATTGTCCCTTCAGAGGCTCTTTCTGCCCAGGAATTGGTTTTAAAATAAGCCCAGGGCCAGCTTTGTCTGGAGACCCTTTCCTGGGAGATGCTGTGCCAACACAAAGGTAATTAATTAGGGTTTTTTAATTAGCTTTTAACATCCCTCTCCTCACTAATATTTATCACAGTCCAGTCCATCCATTTTCAGTCTCCCAGATTGTTATATCCCAATATTTGGGAGAGGAAATAGAGCTGGGGCCCTTTTATTCTGTATTTACTCCATTTTTTTGAGGTTTATTCTGTATTTACTCCTTTTTTTTGAGGTTTATTCTGTATTTTCTCTAATTTTGAGGTCTCTGAGAGAAGGGAGGAGGCAGAAAATACTCACTTTCATCATCTCATCCAGACTTGCCAGCACTTGGTGGTCGGGTAAGTTGTTGAGCTCCCTCCTGTAGGCTCTCAGATCCTCGTAGATGCCCTGCAGGCATTTACTCTGGGAAGGGCAGAATTAGCAGGAAATGTGGGAATCTGCTGTTAAATCCAGAATGAGAGGGGGAAAAAAAAAAGGGATTCTTATAGGAAATTTGCAATTTACCTTATCAAAAGCTGATCTTTCCAGTGCTGGACAGTTCCCAGCCTGCAAATTAAAGCAGAAATTAATGTGAATTACATGTCTGTTCCATGAAAATATAGGCTGGAACTTAAATTTTATATATATATATATGTATTTATATATATATTTCTATCTTTTACCCCTGCATCTTCAGCTGTGCAAGCTTTTATTGTGTTTATTTGGTTCTTGGTGATATCTTCAAGATGAACCTCTTCCAGGGTGCATTCAAATCCCAGGGTGTTGAGTTCCTGTGTGAAAAAGGGGATAAAAAAGGGCCACTGACTCAGTTTCATAGGACAGTTTATACATTTATATGTGTGTAGTTTATACATATATATGTATATTTATGTATATATATATATATAAATACAGAAATATGGGCTGGATCCCAGCTTAGCTGAATCCTAGGGATGAGGGCTCTGGTTAAATATGAAAGGTGGAAAATAATAGACTGGGAATAAGCTCAGGCTTTGCACAGATTTGGTTTATATGGTGGTGGGAATTGCTCTGCCTCTTCTGCTTTCAGTTCTTCTCTCAGACATCAACTCCCTGCAGAACTTTCTGTCAGTTTGGTTTTCA